GGGAGGGAGGGAGGGAGACCCCGCGAACCTGTGCAGTCTCAAAATGTAAAGAACAAAATGTATACCCAAAATTCTGAAGCCTAATGGGTACATTAATGATATGGCCTATCCGCCCTGCCTAAAAATGAAAAAATCAAAAAAAGTAAGGAGACGCTGAGCGTGTCCTCGGCTCGTGGTGTGTGTTTCTCCAAAGGTCTACTGCAGAATGTGCTGCTTGTTCTCATTGTCATTGGGGTAACTAGGGTGCAGTCACGATTTCAGTTTAAAATCCACTTCAGGCATCCCTCGAATACAACACGTCCCCACCGGACCCTAACGCCAGGTTGTATACATTCACCATTTCCCTCGCTTTGGCACAACATTCACGAAATCGTGACTGAAGCGGATTCGTGACTGCGCCCTAGTTTTCCCATTATTATTTTATCATTCTTAATCATTTGATGTGAATCGAGGCCTAATTCCCAGCTTCAACACCAATTGAGTTGTCTGAATGTATGTCTATCCAAGTTTTGCCGATATTAGTACGGTAGTCATTGTAACTAGTCTTGGGAAGTCGCGGAGCGGTTTAAGAGCAAGAGGGCAAGGTAGCCAGACGAGTGTTCTTGCTTGGGTAATGCATCCCTCCCCCCCTCTGCTGTAAATATCACTTCTCCTGTGGTTGTACACGACTCTGAGGCTGCAGAGCATGGAGGTATATGTAATGCAGATACACTTCTTCTTCTTCTTCTTCTTCTTCTTCTTTTCTTTGTTTGTTTGATAGACCATTTCTGTATTTATGCGTGTCATCTTTGCGCAGGGGCCATGCTAATCTTCTCTGTATCGTTCCAATTTTAACGGATGTCCCGAAGCACATATGGACCATTCCTCGATCTATGCGAGTCATCCTTGTGCAGACACCATTTTGCTAATTACCCTTGTCGTTATGTTTCCAAATTTAACGGATGCCCGAAGTACAGGATGAATTTTGCATATACCCAAATTGTCAATTGTCATGTAGATATGTGACACGCATGTGAGCGTCCCTCTAACTGTGGTTTGGTCATGGATGAGTGAGTTTTTTGCAATGGCAGCTCTCCACCAACTTGTGATCTGTAGAGGCGAGAGAGGCATATAATATGTGACTTCACTGAATTGTCAATTGTCACTTTGTTGAAGTTTGTTCAGACCATCACTTTTTTCCTTGCTCTGCTTTTCCTGGCATTGGTTGTTTTCTGAGTTGTGGTGCTGAAGTTTTGCATGAGGATGATAATTGTCGGCCTATGTCTGCTTGCTTCCTCGCAAAGCTGTGCTTTTAACCTCTCAGGGGTCCTCTCTCCCCTTTGCCCAGCTCTCATCCTCTGTTTGTCGTTCTGTGTTGAGTACCAGACGAAGCTGAAGATGTCTCTGCTGCGACCCATACAGCTGTGCACTCTCCACATGCTCCGGCGGCATTGGGACCTTACTCTCAGGCCGTCAAGGCAAATGGCATGCTGTTTGTATCCGGTGTCCTCGGCCTAAACCCTCAGGTTGGTCTTTTTATTAAACCACCTCTACCTTTTCCCGTGTGGACGGCCGTCGAGCCCGCGAATCTCTTTAGGAGGAGGGCGAAACGACACGACGGCCACCGATGAGATTTGTCAACGGCAGCCGTCGTCGGGCCCGGCCTCCAATTTTTTAGGAGTGGGATATTTTTCCGTTTTCCAACAGCGGGAAAGGTTGTGGTGGTTTAGGAGTGGGATAGCTTCTGTCTGCGTAAATTTTTATTTATCGGGGAATATGTCAGTCCATCGGACTCCATCCGTCCATGTATCTATTGATGCAATTATTCGGCTCTCTCTCCCTTTCATCCATCTGTGTGGAGTGTGTATGTGTATTATATGTACCTGTCTATCTGTCCATGCAATGACCATTGCAGGAACGCAAGCTGTATTTTCCTGAGGAAATGATGTCTTGGGGTGGTGATTGTCTCACAACCTCTTTGTTTGACTTTTGCTGCTTTTGCTATGTCAAATTCACTCCCTTGGTATTTGGGCCAACTTTCAATCAGCTTTGACACGCTGTAGCGGAGGGGAATGCTAGAAGAAAGGCGAGCTGGCAGTCAATCCTCCATTAGAATGGATTCAATGGAGTAATCAACGCTGTTCAGGGGTCCTTTGTCCAAACGGAGGGAAGCGTGTGTGCAACATGTTGGTGTATTTCGATGACTTGCCTGTGGAAAAGGAACCGGACTGATGCTCCCCACGATGGATATAGGGCCAGGACGGTAAGGTGCACTTTTATTAAAAGCAAAACAAAAAAAGCTGTACTATGCACAACTGTTCGGGTGGATACAGCGATAACGACCATGCCTTCTGTTCGGGTGGGAGGCGGTAGCCGCCAAAACGCTGTACTATCTACAGCTATAGAGACAACGATGTTGTTGCAGAAATATGCACCCAAGAGTCGTTTGTGATCTTATGCAATGAGTGGTCTAGAGTGCACGAGTTCTATCTGCGACACTTGTTTCATGGAATTATTGTCATGATTGTCATGCCTGTTCCATAGAATGTATCAGCTTCCCGATCTGGTACGGGCATGTACCAAATATCGCTTCTGACCTGACTTATCTGCTGATGTGATCCGGTGTGCAGACTATGAAGTTCCCTTCTGATGATGTCAGTCAACAAACTGAGCAGGTGAGTGTTGTTGGCATTTTCTTCTAAGTGGCAATTTCTTTTTCTCATCCTCATCCTCATCCTCATCCTCTTCTTCTTCTTCTTCTTCTTCTTCTTCTTCTTCTTCTTTCTTCTTCCTTCTTTCGTCGTCGTGTTCGTGTTCGTGTTCGTTCTCGTTCTCGTTCTCTTTCTCGTTTTCGTCTCCGTCTTCGTCTGGTCTTCGTCTGGTCTTCGTCTGGTCTTCGTCTGGTCTTCGTCTTGTCTTCGTCTTGGTCTTCGTCTTCCGCGTTGCTCTCCTTGCGGCTGGTGATGGCAGTGATAACAGTGAGTGCGATGATGATGATGATGATCCTCATCTTGTCATACAGGTGTTTTTTTCTTACAAAGTGAAAGAAAGTTGATTTGCCAATCAATGGATGCTGCGAGGCAACACGAGTACTTGCCTTGAAGCTGAGTCTGGGGGCTAGTCTCTGGTCTGAATTCGACTTCTGGGTTCACAAGTTGCTGTCTAGGGCAAAATGTCGTCTGAGATATCCCTGAGGTTGAAAGATCAGCTCTCTCTCTCTCTCTCTCTCTCTCGTCAGTGGGATGTCTCTCTCTCTGTCTCTCTCTCTCTCTCTCTCTCTCTCTCTCTCTCTCTCTCTCTCTGTGTGTGTGTGTGTGTGTGTGTGTGTGTGTGTGTGA